TAACCTAACTAATAGACAAAAAGAAGTATGGAAATCTTCACCCTATATATGCATTAGAGGAAACATGCTTGCTTGGAGGATTGAATATAAATGGTCTCAATATATTTAACATTAGCTTTTTTTAAGATGACACCTACAATTTTGATGTCAGTTTCATATTCAGATATAACTAGTAAGTAATCTTTTACAGCAATCATTCATATTATTAACTTTTAGCTATTTGCTTGAAGGTATGAAGAAACCTTTGAAACGATCTGTAGATTATATCTACGTTTAATAGCTAGTCATAGACAGTGTAAAATGTATAAATTGTGCATAAAACATGAGACATTTCTATTTCTATTCAGATGAAATAGTACTAAACGGTATTAGAGTATCAAACATCAATATAGATTTGCCAACTGATTATCTATTTTCTTATAATTCTCAAACAAGAATATTCACTATTCATATTTCAGATACTAGCAAGTAGAACTATGGAAATATGTCATTATTTTCAAATTCTCACTTTGAAAATATAAATGGAGATTATGGTTCTATTGGAAGTATTTATAGTTTTGAAAGATAACCAGCTATCCATCTTATAATATTCAATACAACTATTATCAATTCACATGCAACTACTTATGGAGGAGCATTTGTTATATAAGATTTACCTTTGAGTAGCTTTAATCTAACATTCTTGAGATGCAATTTTAAGAATGTTCGAGGAACTGAATATGGTGGAATACTCTATGCAATAGGATCTCAAGATTATAAGGCGATTAATTTGGTGGCAATTAATAGCTCAATTATTGAGGATACTAGTCAAATTAGCATTGGGTTAGCTGTCTATATTAAATAGACACCACGAATTATTTTGCAAATATCTGATACTAATGTCACTTGTGATACAAGCTTTTAACCTTACAATTTCAATTATTCTAATATCATTGAAGATACTTATAAATTTAGTGACCTTTCGATAAATAAATATGGATCTGTATTTAGTGTTGAAGATAGCTCCTATGAGACTGTAGTTGAATCTATTAATAACAATTACAAATATTGCCTAAAGAATTATTGAGGATCAATTTTTAATATTAAATCAGAAGGAGCTTATTTCATAGAAGAAAGAAGTCAATATCTAAGTAAGATTTCTATAATATTGTTATGATTAATATAGTAAATTAAGCTTTATATGGTGGAAACATTGCTTGCACTAATTGCTTTAAATTCAAATTTCAGAGGCCTTAATTTATCTTTGGAAGTGCTTATAGAGGTGGATCAATTTACCTGGACTATACTACTTAATAATATGGTTTAGAAAAAAAAAGTGTAGATCTCGATATCAGCTACTTTTTTATTCTGAATTCTACCTCATTTTCAGATGGAGGATTCTTATATGTGAGCGGAAATATAAAGCTATATCTAAAGCTTTAATTAACAAATTTTGAAGAGATATCAGCATCCATCATGGAGAAAGAATTTGATAATATTTAAGGAACTGTAGTTGGTGGTGGTTTTGCTAGCCTTATCTTAGACGAATTAGATATCTTTATATTTAAGTGCTCATTCACCAGGATAGGTTCATTCAGATAGGGTGGAGGTATCTTTCTAATCAAAAGTGATAAAGTAGCAATTGAATTTTCAAATGTAGAAATTTTAGAGGTTTTAGCTCAGACTTAAGGAGGAATAATGTATGTTAAAGCTTAAAACTATGATATTAAATTTCAAAATGTATCAATCAGATGCAATTCTTCAAATGATTATAATCCGAACTTTGCCTATAATAAAGCAACTCTTTTTTATCTTGATGCTAGTAATGACTTGATTTCTAGATTTGTTGGGAAATTCATAAATTATGAAAACTGTGGAACAGCGAATGAAGGTGGTATATTTAATCTTAATAATAATGCTTTGCTAAATGTAACTAATACTAACTATACAAATATATCTGCTTCAAAAGGTGGAATTATCTATTGTACTTAATGCTAGATCATTATACATCACTCGTTATTTACTGCCATAGATGCCTAGTATGGCTCCATAATTTATATCAATGGAAATACGATGATTCATGTTGAAGATTCTGTATTTTTGAAGAATTCAGCTTACTATGCTGACGATGATTCATGTTGAAGATTCTGTATTTTTGAAGAATTCAGCTTACTATGCTGGAGCATTTCTTTATGAAAATGATAAAGAGTTAGAAACGACTAATATTTATAGCATTGTTGATAATAATTTCTATTCGAATAAGATTAATTAGTTGGGAGGGATATTTTATCTAGTCTACAAGAATACTGTACTTTCCATTAAGGATAGTAATTTTACAAATAACTATTTGGAGCAAGTTAGTTCTAAACAAGCAGTAATTTTCCAAGTTATATTTGCAAAAGAGATCAATATTAATAATACAAAATTCTTATCTAATAATAAAACTTAAGCATTAATTCAAAGATACTACTAGATGATATACTCTGAGGCTAATGCTTTAAAATTTATTTTATCCAATAGTCTGGTTTAGTTTAATCAGGGTTATAATGAGTCTCGAATAATGTAGTAAGTAGTTTTGGATTCGCCTCAAGTCTAGAATTAAGAATTTGATTTCTATGGAATATTCTTCTTGGCAAATGCAAATATTACAGCAAGCAAAAATGTGTATCTTAATAATTATGTATCGTAGAAAGGAGGAGTTTATTATCTCAGTAATTGTTCTTACAGTGATACAGGCTCTAGGTATGAGAATAATGCAGCATTGTATGGAGGAGTAATTCAAGGAGAATCAATTATAATCAATTTAGATAACTGCACAAATATTAATTCAATATCTTAAAGTGGGGCATTCATCCAGCTCATAGACAATAGCTAGGGAATGATTAAAAACTTTATTGGCATTGGTATGAAAAGTATTTAAGGAGCATTTTTAACACTAGACTCATCTGATAATGTTGATATCGAGGAAAAGACCCTAGTAATCAAAGATTCAGTGTTCTAAAATTTGGGGGCATTTTTTTTTGGAGCATTTGCTATTCTTAACAACTTTAGAGTAGATATGATTATAGACAATGTTAAGGCTAGTGAATGTGTGAGTAGGTTTGGTTCATTCATAAACTTATAAGATATAAGAACTCTTAGAATTAACAATTCCTAGTTAAAATAGATGCGAAGTGATATAATGTAAGGTTTTGATAAGCTTAAAATTAACAATATATAGGCAGTTTTCTGTTATATATGCCTAAAGTGATAAGGCTATACTAGTTTCAATTACCAACACTATTCTGAAATGTGAAAATAATTATGATAACAATAAGATAATTGAAATTTTAAGGAATTAAGAAAAGCTTGGCTCATCAGTATTATATTTTTCCAATACATTTGAATTGGAATTCGAAAATAATACTTTTTCTCATTGCCATCATGGGTCATTGATTCAGCTAAGTTCAGTTTTTTCTTTTAAAGATAAACATTCAACATATTTCAGTAAGTAATTGTATCAGTAAATTTTATTTATTCTACCTAAAATTGATCATAAACTGACAAACATATAGACAATTCAGCCTATGATACGGCTGTGATGAATTTACAAAATTCAAAGGCAGTGATTTCTAACATTAAAATTTATAATAATATGGCCTATGAATGTGCAGGTATATCATTGGATGTAGAATCTAGCATGGATATAGCGAAATCTGAATTTAGAAATAACTATGCTATCAATAAAGTTGGGGCAATAAGAGTTGTGACAAAATCTACTCTTAATATAATTGACTCAGTATTTCATGAGAATGTAGCAGAGAACGAAATATCAACCATAAATATTTTTGGCTCAACTGATGTAAGAATAATGATAAGTTATAATTAGCATATTCTAGATAAATAGAATCATACTAAGAAATGTGAAATTTACTAAAAATAAAGCTTACTAATCAACTATTTAGATTATGTATGGCTATGAGATAAATTTTATAAACTGCGAATTTACAGATAACTACAATTAGGCTGGGTCAAGAGGAATATTCATAGGGTTTTCAGCTGTTAGCATTATCTCTACATAATTTGAAGACACTGATTCGTAATCTTAATTTCATGATTCTTAGTAAAATAACTAATAGTTCAAGAGTTTTAAAGAAAATTGAGTCTAACAAAAACACATAAGGCTCTTTTTTATATGTACTAGTAGGTGTGGATTTGAAAATATAATCTAGCATGTTCAAAAATGGATACTCTTACCTAGGGGGTGCTATTTTTATTAGTGGCAGTAAATTTATATTAATTTGATTACAATTTTTTTCTATAGGATCAGATGTGTCTATTGAAGATAGCACCTTTCAGAATAATAAAGCTTTTTAAGGGGCTGCAATTGTTGCTTAATAATTTGACAGCTTAAATATTTTTAAGAAATGCTAGTTTATTGAGAATTATGCCATTAAGAGTGGAGATGATATATATGCAGTGCAATCTAATTTTAATGTAAATATTAAATGCTTACATTTTAAATACAGTTGAAAATTGATGGAATGATTGTTTTAAACTCTAATCCCTCTAATTCACTTGAACTAGACACTATTAATTTCTATGCAGATAATTTAAAGATCACTCGTAAAAATGATTTTTAGTAAAATTTTTAAATAATAGATTCAAAAGGAAAAGTGCAATAAGTGGAAACAGGAGGTGCTATTTCATGCTAATCTTGCGGTTAATTTCATTTGAACAACTCCATGATAAAAAACACAAATGCTCAATCTGGGGGTGCCATTTATCTTTCCTAAAATGACATGGAAAAATTCAATGGACAAAACTATATAGTAAGCAAACTTACAATTTTAAATTACTCGCAGATAAAAAATACAGAGTTTGAAAGTACTTGGTCAACTATGTATGACGGTGGAGCGATAGGTATTCTCAATATTAAAAAATTAACAATCATTGATTCATCTTTTAATAACTGCAGCAGTAAGATGTCTGGAGGTGCTTTTAGATATGATTGTCCAAGCCAAACTTATGACTGTGAAGTTATTCTTATTGGACTTAACAGATTTACAAACAATAAAGCAAGCACTAGTGGAGGAGCATTTTATTGGAATGAGAATGAACCAAAGTTTGATATGAAAAAGATCTATTTTTACAATAACATAGCTGGAATATATGGAAATAATATCGGATGTTATGCCTAAAAATTAGGGAAAATAACTGAACAGAGATTTCTCCAAATAAAAGAAACTACTATGAGAAGTCTTGCATCTGAAGTTGTAACTGGCGCTTAAAGTTCTTCAAATGCAACGGGATTTAGAAGTGGAGATTCGGTAAGCACTATGTATCTAGCTTTAATAGATAAATATGGTTAGATAGTTACCACTAATAGTAACTCTAAATTGACAGTAAGCGTTAGTGTTATTTCCAAAAATAATTAGATTTCGACTAATTATCAACCAATTATTGAAGGATAAAGCATTTTTTACTCTGAAAATGGTGTTTTTACTGTTACTGGTCTCTAATTCACTGGAGAGCCTGGATATTCATATTCAATAGTCTTTGATACTGATGGCATTGATAATAGCAAACCTGCAAATAAATAGTAGCTATATTAAAGTAATAATGAAGAAAAATCAAACTTTAACTTGAATGTTGAATTAAGAGAATGTTAAATAGGAGAAAAATTTTCAGATTAAGGTAGCTGCGAGTTATGTCCAGAAGGAAGCTCTTTCTCTTTAGTTAAAATGACTTCTCCTGGATCTTGCCAAGTATGTCCTACTAGTGTAGCATTGTGTTATGGAGGATCTTTTATTGGTCCCAAGCCTGGTTACTGGAGAATGAATAATAGAACTAGTAAATTTATAGAATGTCTTAATCCTGAAGCTTGTCTGTAAGTATATAACAATAATTTATGTAATTTTTAGAGGAATTATACCACCTTATTTTAAAACAACAGGATCTTGTGATATTGGATATGAAGGTATTCTATGCTCAAGTTGCAGCTAGGATTATTCTAGAACAGGCTCATTTAAATGCTCAAAATGCCCAGAATCTTCCACTAATATTCTAAGACTTATAGGAATCGGTAACTGTGCTGTAATAATAGTGGTTTTACTGATTAAGTCTACTCTAAATGGAGCATTAGTCAAAAGAAACGTAATGTCAATCTTCCAGAAAATCTTTATGAATCATCTTTAACTCATAATGATGACAGCTTCATTCAATTATAACTGGCCAGCAAAGGTAGTTGAGTTTTTTAGTTCAAGCTAACCAGTTGCATAAGCCTAAACCTAAGTCCTATCAGTTGATTGTTTTATTAATAAAGGATTAGGACAATCTTAAATTTCTAATGAAGAAATAACTTATCAAAGTTTCGGAAGTGGAATTACATCCAGTTTGCTATACTTGAAACTTTTGATGTTTGCAGTATTACCCTTTTTACTTGCAATATTATCTTATTGCTTTTGGATGATTGTTTCATGTAAAAAATAATCAGAAAATATATTAAAGACCAAGGCAGTCTCATCATTGGTTATCCTACTATTTTTAATTCATCCAACTTTGGTATCTTTTTTCTTTAAAGCTTTTGAGTAAGATTATTAATTCTGTTTTCAGATGAGCTTGATTTTTTTTCCATATAGTTGCATTGAAGTTGATGGTGAAAGCAGAAATAAAGAAGATTTGTAAATAAATTGTAACACAAAATAGCATTAATATTTCTCGCTTTTAATTGCATTGCCAGGACTTATCGTTTGGGGTATTGGAATTCCCTTTTTTGCTTTTGCTCTGATGTTTAGAAAAAGTAAAAATTTAGATAATCTTGAGACTAGAGCTCAATATGGTTTTTTATTCAGAGGTTATAAGAAGCAATTTTATTATTGGGAGATAGTGATTATGTATAGGAAGATTATCCTAATATTTATCTCTGTTTTTGTTGTCAGCAATGGTATCATTACATAGGTATGAATATAAGTTTAGATTTTAACTTTTTCTAGGCTTTAATCATATTCATTATTCTTATCAGTTTTCTGATGATTACTTTAAAAAAACGGCCATTCTAAACTGTAATATTAAACAACTTAGAGATAATATCATTAATAACATCTACAATAACAGTGTTTTGTGGACTATTCTTTATCTTAGATATTACGACAACTACTGTTTAGGAGGATAGTATATAATCTACATCAAATACATCAGGAAGTAAGTTAAAATATTTTCAAATACTTATACCTTTATAGTATATCTTTCAGAGTCAACCAAGTTGTTATTTTTCTTTATAATTGTCTTTAGCAACATAATTTTCTTTGCTTATTGGTCTTATGAACTTATTAAGGAGCTTAATTCATTACTTATTCTTAAATTTGGAAAGCTCTATTTGATGTTATTTCTATGCGACAATAATTAAAGATTCGATAAGCTTAAGAAATAAATGGCAATAAATGAAGAAAATGAGATTCTTCGGGAAAATTTTATGAGTTACCTAGCTGATATTAAGAAACTATATTCATCTGGTTAGATTATTCTAAACAAAAATGTGATTGAAAGACTTTAATTGTACTTAAGCCGAGAAAAAATTTTAGAGATTCTAGGAAAAAAGAATATTGTAATAGCTTTACAAGATGAAAGCGATGATAAATAAATTTAAGCATACCGAGAAATAAGAAAATCCAACACTAAGGAGCTGAGATAATCGATCCCTACAATGGATATAAGCAGAAGTATTGAGGACCTTAATGAAGAGGATTTCTTAAAAGATAATGATTAGGGGAAAAATGGCTAGAGGCTAGAGAATTTACCAGTTATTATGGAATATGAGGATGAACAAAACTATTTTGATTTCAAAGATGAAAATGTTCATTAAAAATAGCAAATTATTAAAGACTCAATCGATTAACTTCAACCTTACAAAGTAGATGAAGTCTTTAATCAAAAGCGAAACTTTAAAGATGATTAGGATATAGTGAAGAGACTAAGAGGTTTTAGTTGTGCCAAAGAAGCTAAAAATATGAGAATACAAACGCCAGGTTATAATCCTTAAAATTTTGAGAATTAATATCTTTGCTAGAATAACAGAAAGTATACTGAAGATGCTTAAGACTATATCTAGTAGATTAACTTAATAAAAATTGGCAAAGACTAAACACTAATAGAAGAAGGGGATAAATCAGACACAAATATAATTAGCATGATCGATGAAAATAGTTTCTAAGAAGAACTAGATATGAGCAAGAATAACTTAGTTATTGATGAATTATTTTAGGTAGTTTAAAAGAAAAAATTCTTAAAAAAGATCTCTAGACTCAGAAAAATTATCAATCCTAAATCTAAAATACTATAGTAATCAGCATCTTTAAGAATTTAGACTAAAATGAGCATACCAGTGGTGTAGAATGTAAGTATTGTTAGAAGAGGTACTGTAAAGATAAGTTAAGAAAGACAGTCTAATGATTTAGAGATTGAACTTAAAAATAAAGGTATGGGCATGTTATCTCCAACTAATCAATCTAACAAAAATTAATCAAACAATCAAACGCCCATTTTGAATCAGAGTGATGGATTTACTACTTTAAACATGCTAAAGGATGATGGTGAGGATGAATAGTTATTTATAGAGGAATTAGACAGAGACTTGGATATTATTGAAAGGTTCCAAAGGTCAAATGATAATTTATAATGATTTAAATGGCTTTTGCTTTTATAGAAACAAACTAAATATCCAGAATTTAAAAGATTAAATGATAAATTTCATTATTAAAGAAATTTATAAGTAACTTTTCATATTTTAGTTAACATCATAATAGATATTATATTTAAATTTTATGCTTACGGGGTTTTGGGGTTTTGGGG